ATTTAAATATTTGTGGACTTTTTTACATTTTCAAATATATTGATTTCAGTTACAACACAATACAAAATATACTGTGCTCACTTTCTATTATCTTTATTACAAATATTTGCACAGTAAAAAAGAAAAGAAATAGTATTTTTCAATTCACCTCATACAAATAATGTAGTGCAGTCTCTTTATCATGAAAGTTGAACTTACAAATGTAGAATTATGTACAAAAAATGCACTCAAAAATAAAACACAAAACTTTAGAGCCTACAAGTCTACTCAGTCCTACTTCTTGTTCAGCCAGTCACTCAAACAAGTTTGTTTACATTTGCAGGAGATAACGCTGCTGGCTTCTTGTTTACAATGTCACCTGAAAGTGAGAACAGTCATTTGAGTGGCACTGTTGTAGTCGGTTTTGCAAGATATTTACATGCCAGATGTGCTAAAGATTCATATGTCCCTTCATGCATCAACCACCATTCCAAAGGACATGCCTCCATGCTAATGAGGCGTTCTGCTTGATAACAATCCAAAGCAGTGTGGACTGAGGCATGTTCATTTTCATCATCATGAGTCAGATGCCAATAGCAGAAGGTTGATTTTCTTTTTTGGTCGTTCAGGTTCCGTAGTTTCCACATTAAAGTGTTGTTCTTTTAAGACTTCTGAAAACATTCTTCACACCCCATCCCTCTCAGATTTTGGACGGCACTTCAGATTCTTAAATCTTGGGTTGAGTGCTATAGCTATCTTTAGAAATCTCACATTGGTACCTTCTTTGCATTTTGTCAAATCTGCAGTGAAAGTGTTCTTAAAACGAACACCATGTGCTGGGTTGTCATCCGAGACTGCTATAACATGAAATATATGGGAGAATGTGGGTAAAACATAGCAGGGGACATACAATTCTCCCCCAAGGAGTTCAGTCACAAATTTAATTAACAGATTTTTTTTAATGATTATCATCATCATGGAAGCAGGACGTCTGGAATGGTTGCCGAAGCATAAAGGGGAGTATGAATGTTTAACATATCTGACACGTAAATACCTTGTAATGCCGGTTACAAAAGTGCCATGCAAATGCTTGTTCTCACTTTTAGGTGACATTGTAAATAAGAAGTGGGCAGCATTATCTCCATTAAATGTAAACAAATTTGTTTGTCTTAGTGATTGGCTGAACAAGATGTAGGACTGAGTGGACTTGTAGGCTCTAAAGTTTTAAATTGTTGTGTTTTTTGAGTGCGTGCAGTTATGTAACAAAAAAAATCTACATTTGTAAGATGCACTTTCACAGTAAAGAGATTGCATTACAGTACTTGTATGAGGTGAAATGAAAAATACTATTTTTGTTTATATTTTAACAGTGAAAATATTTGTAATAAAAATAATATAAAGTGAACACTGTACACTTTGTATTCTGTGTTGTAATTGAAATCAATATATTTGAAAATGTAGAAAAACATCCACAAATATTTAATACATTTCAATTGGTATTCTATTGTTTAACAATGACAATAAAAGTGTGATTAAATGCAATTAATTTTTTAATCATGATTAATTTTTTTGAGTTAATTGCGTGACTTAACTGTGATTAATTGACAGCCCTACTTATAACCCTATTATCCTCTAGGTACTTAAAATTTGATTGTTCAATAATTTGTTCCAGTATCTTTCCAGGTGTCAAAGTTAGCCTGACTGGTCTATAATTCCCCAGATCTTCCTTGTTCCCCTTTTTAAAGATAGGAACAGTGTTTGAATGACTGATCACTTGGTACTGTATTTTTAACTCACTGAATTGTATTTGAAATGGTTTTAATATGTTTATTGGGTATATGAATGTCTTTTATTTTTGATGAGTATGATCACTTTATATTAACCAAACAACAAACAAACCAACCAGGAAATCTGAGAAACTCTCAGGATACAATTCTTGTCCTCCCTCTGTAATATTTTACAGTAATTAGAATTTGAGAGGTTTTTAGTACACTCTTTTTTCCTTCCAAAGTATAGAAGATTGGAACATAAGGTTTGGAAGCCAAAATCATTTAGGTATTTGTAAGATCCATTATGAACACAGGGTTTGGAAATTTTCAAGGATCATGGCCTCTTTTAGTCAAAGCCATTTATATTGTTAAAAGAATGACATTGTTAACAAAGGAAATCCTAGCAATGGTATAAGTCCGATACTAGATAAGAATAGTAAAGTTGCCAGTCATGATGCAGAAAAGGAAGAAATATTCAATAATTATTATTGGAAAGCAGCAGGGTCATATATTCATATCTTCCAGTAATAAGGAAGAAGTTTCCCTATTCCATAAGTAAATAGGGAGGATTGAAACAGCAGCTATTAAATGTAAGCATTTTTAAATTAGCAGGTGCTGAAAACTTGCACCCAGAAGTATTAAAAAAATTAGCTGAGAAGCTATCTAAACCATTAATGTTCAGTTTCAACAAATCATGGAAAATGGGATGTTGCAGAGGAAAAACCTAATATTGTGCAAATATTTCAAAAAGTTAAATGAGATAACTCAGGTAATTAATAGTCTGGTTAGCTTGACATCGATACCGGGCCAAATCAAGGAAAGACTGATATGGGACACAGTCAGTAAAGAATTAAAAGATGGTGGCAGGCAACATGGCTTTATGGAAAACAAGTCTTGCCTAACTTGTTTTTTGATGACATAGTATACTAGACTTCTGTAAGGCATTTAACTTAGTCCTGCATGACATTCTGACAAAAAAAATCACAGACAAAATCAGTGTAGCCCTTATTAAATTGATTAAAAACTGACTAACTGGTAGATCTCAAAAGTTATTGTAAATGAGAAACCAATATCCTATGGAAGATTCCATCCCATTGTCGTCTTTTGCAGGATCCCACAGGAGACATGAGAAAAACATGCATAATAGTGACTGACTAAAGAAGCTCAATCTATTTAGTTTATCCAAGAGAAGATTACAAGGTGACTTCATCATGGTTTCCAAGTACCCACACGGGGAAGAGATTTCTGATAGTAGCTGGCTGTTTAACAGAAAAAGGCTTAACAGGCTCCAATGGTTGGAAGCTGAAGCAAGACAAATTCATTCAGATGTAAATTTTTAACAGTGAGGGTAATTAAATATTGGAAGAAGTTACTGAGGGACATGGTAGATTCTCCATCACTTGGAGCCTTTAAATCAAGATTGTCTTGTTGAAAGATGTACTGTAGTTCAACCAGAAGTTATGGGCTAGATGTAAAAATTACTGTGCCAGGTTCTGTGACCTGTATTATGATGATGGTCAGATTAGATTATTATAATGGTTCCTTTTGGCCTTAAACATTTGTGAATATATATGCTTAATATTTACCTTGACTGTCATAATATACCTGATAAGATAGTAAATCCCCTTCTCAGTTTTCCAATCCATTATCTCAAAGATAACAATATGACTTAGATCTATTAAAATAAGGAAGGGACACATATTAATGTAATTAATTAAGATCTGGATAGTTTATTGTCTGCCAGTTCTGTGTTTTGGACCTTTTAGCAATATCGTACAATAATAATAATATCATTCTTTATAACAGACCTTGATTGAACAGAAATTAAAATTCTCACTTTAATTCCTACATTAACATGAGCATGGTTGCCACAAAGTTAGTTCAGTGTTGCCTGGATCTCTCTGTTAAAGTGTACCTTGACATTCTAAGGACTGGCAAACTGTTCATGAACTGGGGACTGGCTCCCACTATTGCCTGTGGAGCAAACTGATTTAATTCAGTAATGTGAGAACTTGCGCAGTGTTATTTGTTGACCTGCAGTTTTCTCTATATATTAGACTTTCACAGGGTAGTTAATTTGTGTCCACTGGGATTAATTTATACCTTGCCATACATTTTTGTTAGCGGTCTTAAAAGGGGAATATTCCCAAGTAAATTAGCTAACATGTGCTTTAGGATTTACATCACTATTAGCAAGTTTGAGAAAATTTGCTCATGTTAAATGTGCATTTCACAAGCCTAGCTCTTATAATTACTGGTGATTCACAGTTTGTCACTTTCTTTCTTTAACTGGTTAGGCTTTGCTAACTTTCCCTTTATTGTATCTGTTGGAAAAGCCACTTAAGGTAAGAATTTGTCTCATGGGACAGCCAACATCAAGTGATCTATCATTGGCTGCCATCAGGTTCACAGTGCAGCTTTTCACTCACATGTGCTTTATATTTCTTATTGTGAGATTGCATAACATTTTTGTTCCTATTCTAATCTTGAAGCTCTTTTGGTATCTTATTCAGAGTGTAAGCTCTTTGTGGAAGGGACCATCCCTTATTATGTGTTATACAGCACCAGGCACAATGGGGATCTGATCTCAGTTGAGACTGTAGGTGCTTCCATAATGCACGTAATAAATTCTCATCTATTTCAAGGCTTTGGTGGCCAGGTATTTAAATGACATACATCAGTAGCCCTTTCAATAGCTCACATGTGCACATGCTGAACAGATAACTAGGTGGTTTGTGCATAGTTTCCCATCTTTACAAACGTGATCTGAAGGCGCAAGTGCTGGGGTTTGCTTTCCTACTCTTGCCCATTTAAAAGCACTGAAGCAGGGAACAGCCCTGCTTCCACCACTGCCTTATCAACTTGCCTCAATTCTCTACTTTCGCAGGGACCGTCTCTGTCAATCAGTGGGTTATTCAGATGCTAAGGCTGCTGAGACTGCCAGTAAGGGTGCCAATTAGTGCCAACTGTAAATGGTGTGTTTTGTAGAATTTATGTTCGTAGGAACTGATATTATAATGTAATAATGCCAAGCTCTTACGTAGGACTTCTCATCAGTAGATCTCAAAGCACTTTACAAATGAGATCAGTATCATTATCCCCATATCACAGACATAGGTGGAAAACTCTCTCTGAATACTGTCTGAAGGTGACAATGGTAAAAATATTCTGCTGTAGGAATGTCTCTTTCTTAAAACACCTACTGATCTTGTATCATATTCCCAGCTGATTTTTTTCCCCTTCTTTATTCAGGTTCTTTCCATTTGTCCCAAGGACATGAGGGCAGATATCTGCGTGCATCTGAACCGGAAGGTTTTTAACGAGCACCCTGCCTTTCGACTGGCTAGTGATGGCTGTCTGCGGGCCCTGGCTGTGGAGTTTCAGACTATTCACTGTGCTCCAGGAGACCTCATCTACCATGCTGGAGAAAGCGTAGATGCGCTCTGCTTTGTGGTGTCGGGATCCCTAGAAGTCATACAGGATGATGAGGTGGTTGCTATTTTAGGTACTGTGATCTTTACTGAAATGGTCGTACCCTACATAAATAATGGGGAGCTGCTCCCCAAGTTTTATCTAACAATCCAGATTGAAATGTAAGTTACTCAGTCATGTCTCTCAGCCTGTCTAAGCAGAGGTGCTTATTGTCGTTGTGTCTAAGTGCTTCACGCCAATTAAAGCTGTTCCTGAGTATTCCCTGACTGGCAAAACCCTCACCACTTGCCTTGCTCCCAGCGCACATGATTGTGTGAGTTTCATTTTGTTTTTCCTTCCATCCTATCTCTACAATTGTGAGTTAATCCTGGGAATATGCTATTCCTGGAGGAAGGACTTACCAGGAGGTGGGTCTTCCATCGAAACCTGGCTTTGGCTGCCCTCATTAGGTGTTCCACAGCTGGGGTGTAGCTGCTGAAAAGGCTCTGTCTCTGTGTCTTATCCTATCCTAGTACCTGTAGAACACAAGCTGTCTTGGAGGATCATGAATCTTGGCAAATCTTGAAAGAGAGGATACAGGATGAAGAGTAGATAGATGTAAAACAAATAATTAAGGGGGTGAGATGTGTCTGGAGAGGAAAATTGCTCAGGCAAATCTTGTGGACTTCATTTGCTATTCTTAGAAAGCTCTTGCCCTTGCTTTGCTAGAGATCATAAAATGATGCGCAGTTTTAGCATCGTGAAGCAGTTGTGTCGGGAAATGCAATTGCAGTAAATGACCTTCCTGAGGGAAACACACATGGAGCGGCTTGCAGCATTGTATTCTGTTAATTACAGCTTCACCTTGTGATAAATTTCCTCTTAGAATAGAGCGACGGAGCTCGAGGGGAGAGTGATATTTGGACATTCTGGATCAGGTGAGTTTTGTCGCAGCAGAAATGATTTGCTCAGTGAGCTGTGGATATGCTTTCCTTCTGCTTAGCTTCGAATAATAACTGGTCTTGCCCAGTGGCACTGTAGCAGTGCATTGGGACCATGAAAGATGAATGGTTGTCATAGCATTGAAACACTTTGTCTCAAGAGAGACTCCGTTAGCAGTAAATCCTTCACATTTTATTCCTGTAGGAGTGCTCTTTCTGCCTACTCTGGCTCACTGGTCAGAGGTAGGGTGTCCCTGAGCACAACAGAATGGCATCTGTGTGCTTGAAATTCTTTAAATCTTCCTCTGGAGGAAATGTGTAAAGTTTTTTTATGCTCTCATAGGAGTGTTTTCCATGTTTACCTTCACACTGGCCTGTTTCACTTGCCTGTATTCTAGTCTGGGTTGTTTTTTCTTTTCTTTCCCCACTGACACATAAATTTTCTAAATTTTCTTCTGAGTCAGGAACAAAAGACACAGAAACTCTTTGCTGGGCAGTGAAATGACACACTTACATCATTGTTGTGAATTGGCCCTCAGGCCAATACCACAGAAAATGAATAGTGGTTTGAGCCAGATAGACATGCAAATTAGGGTTGACCCAAGCAAATCTAGGTCCCTTATGAAGGCCTTTGCTTGATCCCCCTGGCTGGAAAGCCTCTGATTCACTCCGTGACCTTCTCCTCCCCCTGGACCATCCTCAAATTCCTACATAGGCCACCTGTTGATGAAGGAGGTGGTCAGTGTTGGTGGGAGGGTACAAACAGAATGTACATTTGTCTAGGGAATGGGGCGGGGGAAATAATGGGTGCAGTTTTCCTATTAAACAAGAAGAGGTGGGAATATGCCACCTGCCCCAGCCAGGGCCACATTAAGGTGCAAGAAATGCAGCTAATGCAGGAGACTCCAGTTATCACCAAAGCAGGTTGAATGCCACAGCATGCAACACTGGGGCAGGGGCATTAAACAGGACACTGCTGAGCCCCCTGTCGTTACAAGTTTGGCAGCACTAGTTGACCTGGTCCTAACACAAATCTCTCACTGACTGTCGTGGCAGAATTTATGTCCCCATCAGATTTCTCTGCTTCCCCACAGAAAAATGACTTTCTGACAGGGAAGCAAGGGGAACCACAAGAGTGGTCATGCGTCCCCCCCCCCCCCCCCAGCAGTATGTTTTGGGTGCCAGGGAAGCTGGCAGAGAGGTAAATCACTGTGGGGCAGGGGATAGGACTGGAGAAGACGCGGCTCCCCACCCTGCATCGGGCTCAGCTGCTAGTCCTGGCTGGGCTAGGGAGGATGGGACTTCCTCTTCCCCTGCACAGCATCCGGGATTGGGTAAGACCCACCCTGTAATCTCTCCCCCAGCTGCAGGAAGCTCTGCAAACTCCCTCCACACACACACTTCCTGTACCCATCGCTCCTCAGCTGCAGGGGGTGGGGGATCCCTGTACAGGGAGCTGCTCCCCCATCCACCTAACCCCTGTGCATCCATAACCCCTCATGCCCAGACCCTCCCACCAATCCTCACCCCCACCCCCTGCACTCAGAACCCCTCTGATGAGCCCCACTCCCCTTGTGCCTGGATCAGCCTGAGGAGCCATCCACCCCCCACACCCCACTGAGCCCCAATCAGCCGCACCTGGATCCCCACCCCACTGAGCCCCACTCCCCCAGCATCTGGACCCCCCCCTCGAGCCCTCCACACCCAAATTCCCCTGCTGAGCTCTATCCCCACACACACACACATCCAGACCTCCCCTGCAGCTGAGCCCCAACCACCTTCACCTGGACTCCCCAGCAGTGTCCCATTACCGTTGCATCCGGCACCCCCCTAACAAGTCCCTGTGCATCTAGATCCCCCCCACACCCGGATTGCCCCATACATGGATCCCCCCCACACTGAGCCCCTCCACACGGATCCTGCCTTGCTGAGCCTGCCTGCCCACACCTGGCGCACCTGGCATGAAGGGGGCAGGGCCCTGGGGTGTTTCTTTGGCAGTCCCAGTCCATGCACTGTGTCAGGGTTGGATGCAGCTTCACCACTGAGTCTGTGTCTGGGGTTCGGGGAGCTGTACCGTGATCTCCCGTCTCTGTGCAGCCTGTGGCCTGTGCTCCCCAATACCATGCTGGAACCTCCACCAATAAAAATTTTATTGAACAATAAAATTTGCAGGATTTTAAAATATTGTGTGCAGATTTTTTAATTTTTTTGCGCAGAATGCCCTCAGGAGTAACTAATGGAGGCTGAAATGAAGGAGAAGACAGAGTAGCTGTCTTTCTAAATCACCTGAAAAGGCTGAGTTCCTCATCTCCCCTAGCCATGACCTCAGCTGTGCCTTTAAGGCAGAGCCCTGCACTGGAAGTGCTGCAGAGCTGCACTGCCCCAAGGGTGTTTGCACAAGAATTCTCTCTCCAGCTCCCTAGCTTGTGCGGGAGTATTTTCACTGCTGCATCCCTCGAGCAGGTGCATCATATGCCCCGGCTGGGCTGCTCGGTGCATGAAGGCCTGGTGTATGAAGGCTCCTATGATGTCTCGTTGGGCTGGTACTCTGGGGACGTCAGGGGCTGTAATTACGCCAGGCTGCTCTGCCAGGTATGAGACAAGAGGAGACGACAGAAAGCAATACCTGTGCAGTGGCTAATGTACATGTAGGAAGCGGAGGGAGCACACCAGTCGACGCAGGTCTTCATCACATCACATCATTCTGTCCTGGCAGGATGCAGCACGGAGGAAGAAATAAGGAACAAGAGCAAGAGAGGAAATGTCCTAACCCACTGCCAGACGTGTGTGCGCCCTTTTGTGCACTCACATAGCTTGTCCAAGGGGCATCCCCAGTTTGTACCGGCTGGAGAATCTGAATTGAGGCATATACACACAAACTTGATGCATTTCCCTTCATTCTTGAAGATATTAAGACATTTTAAACTACAGTTTTTATGCAAAAAGCCATCAGGTCTAGTATTCCGGGTTGAAGTCGCTATGCCGAAAGCTAAAATCAGCAATTTCTTTATCAAAATATTTTTTGTACGTCAAGTCAGCGAACCATCTCCTGCTAAATACTAATCTCAGTGACAAAAAGGATCCCTCTCTCTTTGTGTTACATCTCTTTAAAGAAGAAAGGCTTGAGCTGTGTGCTACCAAATGAATGATTTTGAGGGTGTTACAATAAAACAAAGCATAAATTATTAATTTGCTGCGCTGAAAAACATTAAGTGAATTTCATGTAGGCTTTGTTGTTCATTACTGAATATCATTTTTCTGCAATAATGGTGAGAGATCTTTACTTCCACCTCCTACATTTCGTAAATCCAGTAGCTATGTTACGTGCTGTCTGACTGGAGAGACCTTTAACCACATTGAGTTAAAGAGAATTGGCTTTAATTACTGGAAGTGCCTTCGATTCTGCCATCACTGCTGACAGCTAATTCAATGAAACAGAGTTACATTTATTGTGTGGCATAGGGATTGGTAGACAGCATAAATCTAGTTTAAAGGATGATAAACTGTTACTCTGGTAATAAGCAAAATAGGGGATTTCCTCGTGCTCTGAACTGATTAGCTGCAAGACTTTCAGGAGTTCTGGAAGAGGATCCCTTTCAGAGGCATTTGCAAAGGCATTTATAATGACAATAAGATGGTGCAGTGCAGATCAAAGGATGGAGAACACCATTTTTATCAGTTTGTCCTGCCATAAGCAGTTCACACAGAAGGGAAAAGGAACTGCACGTCACCTGGCTCTTCCCTTCCACCTCTCCTTTGCTCACTGTCTTTGTAGGAGTCCTCTGAGCATCTCAAGGGGCTTTACATACATTAATTAAATTCTCACCATACCCTGCCCCACTCTGCAGGGAAATATTAGCTTCATTTTAGAAATAACATGCGAGGCAAGTGACTTGCTTGAGGTTGAACAGCAGGGTACTGGCAGAACCAGGATCTCCGACTGTCACTTCTGTGCTTCAGCTGAGAGATCATGTGTTCCTCTTCCCTATGGGGTGCTCTATCCAAATAATATATATCAAGTCTGAATCTCTTGTATGACCTGGTGTGCCTCCTAGTCCACCTCTCCCACTTTGCTCACTGCCTTTGTGTGACTCTGTCTGAGGATCTCACGGTGCTTTACGTACATGAATTCATTCATTCTCACCACCCCGCT